ACTATTTGTAATGCCTTGTTTATTAGTATCAGTTAACTTTGTAGTTATTTACTGAAATAGGGGAGAGTAACAAATATTTAACTTAAATTGGACCACTTCTGTATTTCTACCAAAATGGCACTATTTTTTTACACTAGCAAGACAACTCCGCCATTTTGTAGCACTCCTTGCGCTACAAAATGGCGGAGTATTAGTGGCGCTGCTAGCGCTACTAATACTCAAAATATACATACATACGTACATAAGATACTAATTGTATAATACCGTGTACGATTTAACGTATTAGATGTTGTGATATTACTGCACTTCTTTTTATGATATAAGGAGCAAAAGAGTAGGTATATCGCCTGATGGTAAGTGATTACCGCTACACACCGCCTCGCACTTGCAACGCAAGAGTTACAGGTGCGTTGCCACCCTTGAATGCCCTCCACAGAATTAGTAGGACGGTAAGGGGATATATCATATTTTAGGATCGAATAGTAGTTCCCTGGAAATACTTAAAATTCATATTTTTCGTCGTATCAACGGGTGAACACCCCTAAATTTTGTCGGCCCAATTCCGCCACAGCCACGGCATTGTCCGTTACTCTCCACAGTTCCTCCACAGTGCAGCAGGAGGGGTACAGTGGACAAGAAAGATGGAATTAAAACACCTTGAAATTCTCAGACTATTGATTAATTTATGATAGAAAAAGCTGACATTAATGAAACTGCACGTGGAACGCGCAGATGTTTGCATGAGATTAGGCACTCATCTATTTATCAAATTTATCGCTACGATCATCAGACCACCTGCCATGAATAGTTAATACTATAAGTTGTAAAACCATACAATTAGTTATGCAACAGATATTAAATTTAATTATCTCTAAATAGAAATAAATAAGAGTCATTAATTTACTTTATTACCTCACAATTATATCGTTTAATTATTTAAATATGTTTTCAAGGTTTTTATGTGCGTTCTTTCCGTACCGGAAATGCAACTTACTTAATTCCTCTATCAGACAGTAAGCTCTTCTTTTCCAAATTCATTAGACTTTTCTTGCATATTTGACGATTAGGGGCGTATTTTACTTTTTCATTTTTCGACTGAAACTAACTTAATTTAACTTAACCTTATACATGAGTTCCTTTCATAACTTAATCATATCGAAGGGTTAATATTCGTTCTCTTTGGGTCTGAATTTTCATTTTATTCCTACAAAAGTATTTACATAATTACGTAATAATAACCGCACATTTCACACACGGTCTGATTCCAAACTAGGCAGAGCCTGTACTATGGTAATCAGACTGCTGATAAACATACTTAGATATTTCTAAATACAGTCAACCACAGAACAAACGATCGTGCTTATCACACAAATATTTGTTCTGTGTGGGAATCAAACCCACTACCTCCGGTTTAGCAGTCAGGGTCACTAACCACAAGACCAACAGGCCCGTCAAAAATATTCGTCGCCCGTCAAAGGATAATTCAAAGACGCTACTTATCTAAAAATACTATAGTATTTAAATATGGCATCTACGAGTATTTATAAGTATAATAAAATATAATATTGTATAATAATAATAATGTTGTACCACATTCACACAACGCCATCTAGTCCCAAACTAAGCAGAGCTTGTACTATGGGTACTAGATAACTGATATAAATACATACATACTTTTTTTTTTGTAAATACATACTTATTATACATAGAAACACCCAGACCAAATCAAACAATGAATGTTCATGCACACAAATGTTTGACTTGAGCGGGAATCGAACCCGCGACTTTTGGAATAGCAGTCCGTTACACAAACCACTACGCCATTCGGTCGTCAAAGTGATAATAATAATAATATTTCGGACATATTTAAATATTTGCAGTTCATACAAACATTTGATCTGACCTGGCAATTAAACCCGAGAAATCAGCATAGCAGTCGCTTACGCTACCACTGCACCTTTTAGGCAATCTTTTAGGCATCTTTTAGGCAAAATCTGTTACTATAAAGTGCTGGGGTCATAAACCTATCCAGGGGTCTAGTATACATTTCGACCGGTCAAAAAGTATCACACAGCCTACACACGGCAGTCTGATCATAACTAGACAGAGCCTGTACTATAACAATCAATCTGCTGATAAACATACTTCATCATCAGCCTATCGCAGTCCACTGCTGGACATAATCCTCATGAACATACTTAATAAGTATGTTAAAAGTTACATATTTACAAAAACATACATACGAGATACGTATTTTAGATAAATGTACTGTGTAACGATAGAATTCTGTGTTGCAAACAAAATGGCGATGAAAAAATGAAGAATTATTCGGTTATAAGAAATATAAATTAAAAAAAAAACAGAAGTTAGACGTAAATTGTATTCCCTTCGTTGAAGATTTCCATTTATCAGATCTTGGTTAAGTGTGTACGTGTACTTTACTGATTTATTAATTTTTATTTAATAGTGCCATTGTATCTACCTGTGAATTGCAAAAGAGTGGCCATGAGTTTGTTTGCCCTTTATTCTCATAAGGCTCAACCCCTTGGAAACGGGCGGTTGTAGATCGGCACAGGCATATCATAGATTTTGTATGGGTTTGATTTTTGTTAAATTTATTTGGTTACTATTTGACAAAACGGAGATTGTTGCTTTTGTGTGTGTTGATCTATGACTTTAGAGTCTACATGGAAGACGATTTTAAACAATTTTGGAAATTTTATGAAATAAAGAAAGTTTGAGTTTGAGTTTATGTTGTTGTGTATATCGTAGTGTATATTAGCACGATATATATATATATATATGTTATTTGTCTTGTTATGTATCATTGCTATATTTTATTAACCCTGTGATGTATGTACACGGCGTAGCAATTAGGGTCTGCAACTGGTTTTACGCATAGCCTCATTTTGGGCCCAATTGAAAACCAGCGCCAGGCTTTCATCTGACACAGAGTTGAATTGTGGTGGTAATGCTGCAAAATTGTCTAAAGTGTTGTGTTATTGCCAAAATAAAAGTTTTTTCTTTCTTTCTTTACTTCATAATGGTTTATCCAAGGGAAAATTAAACTAACAAAAAATTGCACAGTTAAACATAATTTATTTCATATTATTTTAAGTATCACAGATCCATTTATTTTAATATTCATCACTTTAACAAAAATATATATAGTCTACGTTCGGTGATGACACCTTATATATAGCAATAGTATGCTTCAACTACGTTATTTTTTTAACTGCGATACATGATATTTACACTCTATCACTTTATATACAATACAGAAAATGATCTAGTTTTATCCAAAAGAAGAAGCCAGAAAAACATCTCAATTCATATTGAACTTTAAGCCCCAAAAAACAAAGTGCTTTTTTAAACAAACAATTGTAGCATATTAATCAGATGTTAATCTACCCTCTTGTGGTAGCAATTCTAGTATATAAATCTTACTAGTGTTGAAATATAGTAGAATTCGCATTTTTCTTTCTTTCGTGAAACACATGTATATAATTCATTCGAAACTCAATATACTTAACAAACTTAAAAAACAAAAAACATTTTATCCTAGTAATAAATTGTCCGTAGAGGTAAAAGTATCCAATATATATATATATATATATATATATATATATATATATATATATAAAATAAAGTGTTTAGAAAATTATTATCTTAAATGAACAGGATACTACGAAAGTGTTTGCATATTACCATATTACAATACAGTCACAGAAAGCAATACTCATTATGGTAATATTTTCCCATAGTCATTTGTTATGGCCGGTACTATGAAGCCTATCTTCAGATAAGCCTGTTGGCTCTGGGCATCAAGTATTTAGTTGGTTGTAGTGAAGATAGTAACTATATAGCAGACAATTTAGACCTCTACTGATTTATAAGTTTTGAATTCATCGCTATATTTCAACAAACGTACGGACTTAGAAATCGAAGGTTTTACAAGATATTTTCTTTAGAATGTGTCATTTATAAGTTTATTCCTAAATGCAATAAGTATTTGCAACTGGCAGTGTTTAAAATAATAGTAATTATCTATAAACTATTAAGAGTATTTTTCCCTATTGCGTGTTGTTTCTTTTAGTTACGTGCGTACAATTTTAAAATGATGAAATGAATTCGGTGATACATTGATTTTGATAACTTAAATGATTAAGGTAACATAGAAAATCAAAAGGGAAAAACACTCTTAATGGACAATAAATTGTTTTGTGGCGTCGAACTATCGTATGTAGGAAGTCTTAGACGATTTAATATTACAGATGAAATAGTTTTATTCATAAATGCAGTTGTAGTCTTTTAAAGATATTAAAAACATGATTTTTTTTCGATGTTAACTGGGGTTCACTATTACGTGATATGACCACGTTCATCAATTCATCTAACACGGTACATGAAATAAAATACTTACATTTTAGAGAATAGCTAGATAAGCTCAGAGTTAGACACGTATAACATTTCACGTTAAATTATTGCCAAATATTTGCTGTGGCATTACACATTTGGCACAAAGTTTGAATTTCTAATAAGCGAGTTCAAAATGATTGCAAGCAAATAAGTATGAAAATAGGATAATTTCTCAGTTAATAAAACACTCAAACACTATACAAAAATAACAAAATAACCAACCGCCCGCCGACCTCGAGTCGGCGATGTTTCTTTAAAAGACATTGTAGGCACTATTATTGCTAATATAATATAATTTATTCATTGATCGCTTATCTACAGCATAGAATATTCTATACAAAATATACTACGAAGATTTTACAAACTTAGGCCGTCGGCCTACGAAACTATATTTTTTTTCTAACGTAACATTTAAACTACTTATAAGTTTACCAACAATCATCCATACACGTTCACTCGTATAGGCCTATACTTTCACAGTGCTTATAATACACAATAGTCTCATTAGTGTACACATAGATACGTAACGTAGAATTGAAATCATTCATTCAAGTTGGAGTCGAGTCGATTATATTATCGATTCATAACCAAGAGGGTCGACCATGTAGTAGGTCGGCGGCGTCGTGGCGGTCCATCTGGCGCAGAGAAGCGGCTAGTGCAGCCGTAGCACCCGCCCCACGCTCACGGCATTCCCATAACTCTAAAATAGCCTCCGTTGGTGAACTCTTTGTGGCAAACCACGTCGTGTATCTATCGACGCCGAGCCTCGACGCGAGTGCTCGCCAATCGTTACCGCGTGCATTAGGTGGATCCAATATAGCGCAGAGCTGTCTTTTTATTCGAGGACTTAATTTAAAAATTCCCTCGTGACCTCCGCACTCGTTTACTCCAGCTTCGGTCACAGTTATATTCCTTTTAGCGCTCCCGTCGCTGCCGTCTTCACTACGGCACATACGAGCTTCTAAAAGGTTCTCTGTTATGTTAAAATTGCGCTGTGACTCGGCGCGAGGTGAACGTCCCCTTGGCGATCGGCTGCGCACATCGTCAAGGGATATTCGGAATGTTTGTTTATATGATGGATTAGTCCTTTGACAAGCTGAAACGCTGAAATCAATATTGTCACAATCATGTGTTCTCTCGAGTACAAAACTACAGTGAAGAGCGTTGTAGTTTGAGCCCCAAACGTGGTTGAATGGAATCTCCTGATACCCGATGCCGGGTTTAGCTTTCCAACCAGGGCTTACATGTTCCAAATTCAAACAAAGGTTCGATCCCCCATCTTGGAAAAGTAAAGTTTTAGGACGTTCAAGTAAAACACCTCCAAGTTTCTTTTCCTGCTCCTGACAGTAGTACGCAGCACACAGAGTATCTTCAAACACGTAAAGTCTTATGTTATATTCAGGGTTAGTTTCGCTTAATAAAGCAGGTGCATATATTGCAAGTTGAAGAGCTTTAACCGCTTTTCCGTTAAAACTTTCACCTACTAACACAAAAGTAGACAGCATATCTGTCACTAGGAATATTTTATCATTGTCGAGTTGAGTGAACACGGGAGTATTGATCGTTTCTTGTCCGAGGCCGACAATTTTCTTCCATTGGGGTTGTGTATTATCATTTTTCGTGCTATTATGGTCGATGGCGTACAGCGAAAGATTCCAGAAGCCGTGTTTGAGGCTGGCGCAATGTGGCATTTGTAGGATGACTGACTTGTTTAATTGGATGCGCGGTGGGCCGCACTTAACTATTGGACTCAGTTGCGTGATACCTGCGGGCGGGAATTTGTTGTGAGCACTTCGTATACTACATACATATATGTTAAATACTCGATCCGCCGAAGGCGGACGTTTTTTATCTCAAGCAAAAATTATACCTCACTGATACTATAGCGTAATTATACAAGCAACGTTTAAAATTGCTTTAAAATTGTTCTCTATCACATCGCAAAATCGATTTATTTTTATTAGACTTGAACACATTTAAGTTGAATACAGTTTAGTCTCATAAATATTCATAGAAGTTTGATGATCTAGGGCATAATAAATACAAGAGCGGAACAGTGAAAATATTTATCAAAATTAATTTATGTATCACGTCAGCAAAGTTCGCTGTAATGAATATACATTACAGTTAGTGTAGAAGTTTAAATTAATTGGACTATTAACTCAGCCCAGCAAGTATTAGAGTTCTGTAAGTTGGTTTAGAATTAAACAATACCTTTGCCAAGTCTTGGTCGATATCTGTCGTCTTTGACAACTGCCATATACATTTGCTCTCGTCGCCCCCTACCAAGGGCTCCCTCTGGAACTGTTAAGGCCACTCCTGCTGCTGCTAACGATAATCTCATTCCAGCAGATGTGACGGAGACGGACTGTGATGTAGGTGAGTTTGAAACTAGTTCCGCTAGTTGAAGGGTTACAGACTCATTGGCAGCATCGTACATGGAGCCAGCTAAAACAAGTGGCTCAATTAAAGTTAATCATTTGGTAGAAGTGATTTGATCAAATTATTATTATATTTAGAATTAAACACTTACAGCTAGTGAAGCAACTGGAAGCTGAATGTTCAGATTCACTGTACGGCTTGCTGTCATAGTCGTCGCTCTGACCCTTGCTTGAAGCACATGGAGTGACCTGGTGGTCTACTGGTGATGCATAGCTGTAACGATTTAATCTTTAAATACTTTGAAACTTCATGTCATTGCTGTTTTTTCACAATCTTGTTGTTTGGACTCTTTTGAAAAAGTCAAGGACTTATGCAGTTTTATTTATCATCTATTCTCTTTTGTTAGAAAATATTTTAAGCGTTCTACTTTCATATTGTAAGATGTTTCAAGGTCAACACTAGAATTTCATAAAGTGTGACTATTAAGTGGTATCGTGTATAACAATTATACCGTGAATGCCACGGGTGATAGCCCAAATGGCAGCAATTATTCGCACACGCAAACTTTGAGCCTTGCAACGTTTTATTTTTCATTACCTCAAAAGATAGCAGAAGTAAAGACATCGAAAAAGGCGTATGCTACGTTTCATACCAATTAATGGCAATAGCTAAACCCAAAAGAAACTGAGTTGCTTTATTCGTTTTATTCTTATTCAGGTTTTTTAACGTGTAAAATTTAATATTCATTTCATTCTAGCTTCTAATACCTTTATAATTTGAGTGATGTCTTATTTTCATATGAATTTTAATGAGTTATGTTACGCCCTATATAAATATCACAAGAATATTTATCAAACATTGGCATAATAATGAGCAAGACACAATGAATTTTTATATGAGAATGACAGGTTCTAAATTCAAATGTAAGCGTAACTTTTTAATTATAACAGTGTTTATAACCAGAACTTAAAGGTATATATTTATTTTCTCGCTATCAATTAAAAAAATTGTATACCTATTTGTGAGATGTGGTACATCGTAATGATGTTCAGCCCTGGAATCGGGTTGTGGGTGCTCGTATCTTGGAGGTCTGTGCTGCATCAGGTCTGGAGCCAACGACAGAGATTGTTTCTCCACGGTCGGGTATATTTCTGGTTGAAAGTCTGCTTGAGAAACAAACGAAGATTTAAATGCACGAGGTATATATTAGAGGCAATCTGGAACGGGGACCTTATATATTATTTTTACATCATACGCAAACACCCTCATGTCTTTTACGACCGAAGGACCGACTACATTTTATTAATATATTTTCATCATTAAAATCATCGACAGCCTTTAATAGTCCACTGCTGGACATATGCCTCTCATTAGAAAGAAGGTTTTGGCCTACTAAATCACACTGTCCAGATGGGTTGATATAGGATTTGTTTCAGGTTTTTCTTCTATTTGCAGTGCTAAAACATAATAGTCCGTGTGGACTATTATGTTTTAGCACTGCTATTGCTGCTGAACTGCACTGTACTGTTATTTATATTAAATTTATAATTTTAATCTAACTTAGGTATAATACACATAAATAAAACACTATATTAATTACTACAGATATACATAGAGGTCCTAACTATACACATATAATACATTCATACACCTATAAGTTTACTTGGATGAGAATTGTAAATATCTAATTTCTTCACACATACATTTGCTAATTTTGTTATAATTGTGTCAAAATCATTCTGCGTTATTACATTACTTACAATTTCTCTCATCATAATAATAACAGTACTGCTGACAAGGTATTTCGTTTGCCGTGTGTACTAGGTTCATTAAAACTAGGAATTAGATTGGTTTCTTGTCTAAAGATGACATCCTGTGTATAAAGCGGATGTTCTACGACCCGATTCATAATTTATTCCTGCAAGATATGTATTATTCACTATAATTCTTGTTAGCGAGTTCTTAATGAAGCACCAGGAAATATGCACAGCTCTGACATGTCAATATACAACCAATGAGAAAGCCATTTGAGAGTTCTATAATTATCTTACTACTATTATAAATGCAAAATTTTAGATTAAGATTCGTTTCTCAATCACGCAAGGAGCAAAACAAATCCAAATATGAAATTTGGATTTGTTTTGCTGAAGAAATCAGGTGAAACCAGATCGGATGAAATTTGGATGGATTATATTCTGGCATAGGCTACTTGTTTTCACGAAAAAATTGACTTGTTTATGGCAAAATCGACATTAACACGTCTATTATAAGGTGTTATTATTAAGTACTAAAGAAGTACCTGTATGTTCTGAGAAGATTTGAGCATATACTATGCATTTATATTTTTATTTTATTATATAGTTTATTATTTTTATTTATTATTTGCTCTAATATGTAATGATAATAACTAGGCACATCTCAAACACGGATCTCTAATCGTAAACTAGGCAGAACCTGTACTATGGTAACCAGACTAAATGTACTTAAATATTTCTAAAAACAGACATGTCAAAATGTCAGTCAAACGTAGAACAAATGATCGCGGTCACAACACAATAATTTGTCTTGTAAGACAAGGTGGGAATCGAACACACGATCTCTAAGTCCGTTGTCATCATCACTAATCACCAGACCACCAGAATATTAATGGTGATGTATTTCTCTATTATCTGCTACTCCAAGCTACTCGCTAATTCTATAATATTTATGCACTCTAAATTTCAATTTTGTTCGTGATCCTTTTAATTCCATGGAAAAAGCATTCCTGGTTTACTTTAATCTCCCGGAAAACGCTTTTTAATTTTACGATCGAGTAATACTCGAAAGTTCGAACCTAGTAGACTACCAATGTAATCCCACTGTTAACAATAAATTTAGTTTCATAAACAGCTTTTAAAAATCCACTGCTGGACATAGGCCTTTCATTAGAAAGAAGGTTTTGGTCTACTATAATAAGCTGGCCAGATGGGTTGGTATAGGGTAATTATATTAGACGACTCCGGCGCCGTAGGTCGCAGAACGACCTCCGTCCTCCATAAGCGCAGGCCGGGGTGGCGGCGGGCGGGCTGCGAGGCGCGCGCGCCCTTCCGGGAGCACAGAGGGAACATGGAGGGGGTCGTCTACAAACCGTAGATGGCCCGAGGTACGTCGAGGCACCAGGGATTTCCTTTCTAGGGTACACCTGGTTCCCCGACTACTGGTACCTGAGACGGCATGCGGTTTTAGTGGGTTCGAGTCCGACATTGCCACCGGTGAGTGGTAACCGGAGGGGATTTCCGCACAGAAAAAAAAGGGGTAATTATATTATGTGATAAAATATATAATATTCTGACTAGTTGAACCAATTGTAGTGGTTCAACGACCTTGCTGAGATATCACATAAGTCGTATATATATACATGTATAATACGTTTGATTGGCCTTTTGGTCTAGTGGTAGAGGTCGTGGGTTCGATTCTTAACCGGGACAAATAATTATGTGATGAGCGCGATCATTTGTTCTGGAACTGGGTGTAATTTATCTAAAATACTCGTATGTATAAATTTAAAAATTTATGAGTATATTTATGACTATAATATCTCTGATTATAATAACGCAGGCATGTCTAATTTAGAATCAGGTGCCCGTGTGTAAGATATCTAGAGTAAAAAAAATTTAGTAATTTGCATACCACTTACGATATTATTTTTTATTTAATTAACTTACCAGTTCTGGTCATGGTGTATAGAGAATGGTCTCTAGTCTTTCTCTGCAGTAGTTTATAGACTACTGCAGCTCCTGCCAGGAATACCACCACTGCTACTGCGATCCCAATGTATAGTGGTATATCATTGTGTGCTGCCACTGTTGAAAAAGAATATTGTTAATTTTAATTCTTAGAAATAAATATTTTTTTATAAAACTAACATATTAATTGGTTTTATATATTAAAACATATTAATGCGAACAGTTGTGTGAGAAGTGACTGCACGGATAGCGTAATGGTTTAAGCGGTTGCCACGCCGCTTACTACCACGCTGAGAGTTGTGGGCCCGATCCCCACATGGGACGACACTTTGAGTGATCCTCAAATTGTTGTTCTGAGTCTGAGTGTCCTTTGTGTCAGTTTCATGTATGTTTGTAAAGTCCCTCGCGACACAGGATTTATTCCTAGTGCGGGAGTTGTCTTTTTACTTCATCATCATCATCATCATCAACAGCCTATTCTAGTCCACTGCTGGACATAGGCCTCTCCTTAGAAAGGAGGTTTTGGCCTACTATACCACGCTGGCCAGACGGGTTGGTATAGGGTTTGTTTCAAGTTTTCCTTCTCTTTGCAGTGCTGTTGTCCTGCTTAGTTTGCTCCCTTAGTCGACACCCACGGGATGAATTGGGGTGGTGACAATTTGTATTCTTAATCCGTCACCACACGGACTTTTTACTTAAAAAAATTAAATTCTATCATTTGTTCTGAGTCTGGGTGTGATTTATCTATAATATGTATAGAAATATATAAGTACGTTTATACCATAGCAGTCTGCTTACCATATTATTATGATAGTACAGGCTTTGCCTAGTTTGGGATCAGACGGCAGTGTTTGAGAAGTTATTTGAATTTATTTGTGTGTATTATTTGTGTAACTGGTCTTTTTTTAATTTACATGTAAGGACAGGCAAAAGGCGGTAGCATTTTATTAATTAGATGCCATTTATTAGACTGAAACAATATTAATTGATCAATCGTATAATGTAGACAAAATATTAAAACTCATTGGTAAATAAACAAGTAATAAAATAAAATAGCTTTTTGTAAAAGCTTCCTGTTATAATTTTAGAATAGAATAGAATAATCTTTGTTGTACACCAATTCAGGATATTATACATACAATAGTATTCCAAGTTAATGACCATGTACAAATGGCGGACTTATAGCTTAAAAGCAATGTCTTACAGGCAACCTTTGGATGGACAAATAGACTTTAAATAGGCAATTTCATGGGCAGATATGGTGAGAAAAAAGTGTAAAGGAAAAAAATATTATACATGATTTAAAGAGAATAATACAATTTTAAAAACTTATGTTCTTGTTACTATTCGTTTATTTTTTTAAATAGAATAATATAATATTTTTAAACCAGAAATAGTTTAATGCCAATAATAACGAATTTTGTCTTTTGTTTTATATCAATAACCAGTTTTACTTGAACTATCATTGTATAGAGATCTCCCATATGTTTTATGCAGCCTTTTCACATAATTTTTAACACATTATTAAAAAGGTATCTAAACTTTTTCTACAAATAAACTTACACATATTCCAAATATCAGATTTCGCCGTTATAATATTTATCATTGTTGCAATTTACGACAGTTAACAAATATATGAAAACAATTTCAAAAATGTAGGTACTTGCGTGAGTTTGCGCTCTCTTTAGCAAAAAAATAAATAAGTTAAGAATAAATTTCCGTCTTCACAAACACTGACAATATTGTCCAGTACTCATAAAAATAATGTTAAACTTTTACTTGTCATTTAAAAAAAAAAAAAAATACCAATCGAATTGAGAACCTCCTCCTTTTTGAAGTCGGTTAAAAACCACAAACACCAGCAGAAAGCCATTTGTCACGCCAACAAAGAGACGTAAATTTACAAAGTTAACATCGCGTACTTTTATGTTTCTCACTAAAATATAAAAAATGGCATTATCCCACTTTTTTAAAGCGTTACCTCACTGGGAGTGGTTCCAGTAAAAAAATATTTTACATATCAACATACTTTATATCGTATCGAATCGTTTCATGGGCGGCGGTGGTCACTTTACATCAGTCGACCCGTCTGCTCGTCTGCCCCCTCTTACATAAAAAAAATCAATTACTACAGACTACACACACACTACTTATAAAAAAACGAAAACATTGAACTGGTAATTAGCTATATTATTTATTCTTATCCATAAGTTGTTAATATTGTTTGTTTGCCAATTAAAATAAATAATTAAAACGAACCCTACCGTACATTTGACAGCTACCATCTGACGACCAATTCTAAAACCGCGCGCGCTAATTGGTCAAATTAAATAACTTCGCCGGTTTCCTGTTACATATTTGGTATTTTATTGAATGAAAAAAAAAAGCAAAATGCAACCATTGAGTTTAAAAACAAAATCGCTTAAAAGTTTTTTTAAAGACGCCATCTTAAATTTGTGGGAGCACCTTAACACATAAGTCATTGTATTTTAAACGATGTCCCGAGAGCGCGGAAAAAATAACCATTCATTTTATCTTACGAACACGCCCAGTGGTTTGGAGTAAAACAAAAATACTTCAAGATGTCAAAATAAAGATTAGTTTATGAGAAATTAGTAAATCGTTTCGCAAGTGACGAACTAAAAATGAGGGCAAAATAAAGAGTTATGTTTCGTTTATGTTTAGGAACATGAATTTTGTACATGTAAGCTGCTTAAGTAAGGAAACAATAAATTTATCAAATCTTGGTGTGACATTGAGCCTCCAGTCACTACTATCATGAAGGAAATCTTTTTATGTACATGATTGAAGTTGGCGGTAGCAATAACTACATGTTTTTTTAAACTTATTAATACACTATGTACTATATAAAACAAATTATGTAATTATATATATATATATATTTTTTTATATTGTACCACATTCACACAACGCCATCTAGTCCCAAACTAAGCAGAGCTTGTACTATGGGTACTAGACAACTGATATAAATACATATATACTTTTTTTTTTTGTAAATACATACTTATTATACATAGAAACACCCAGACCAAATCAAACATTAAATGTTCATGCACACAAATGTTTGACTTGAGCGGGAATCGAAACCGCGACCTTTGGAATAGCAGTCCGTTACACAAACCACTACGCCATTCGGTCGGTAATGTTAGGTTAGATAAATTTGTATTGATTTCTGTGTTTCCTTGATACAAAATGTTAAAATAAATGCATAGTTAAGAGCCAATTAGTTAGTTATTATAGTAACGGAACATTAAAAAAAATACATGAAAAAATAGTCTAACTTACACACAAAATATCAAGAATAAATCAAAATAACAAAACAAAATTCCAGTTCCAAAAAAATATACACTTTTTAAACCATTCAAGGAAGGTTAAAGAAAAAAGTTTGATTCCAAAGAGAATTATCTCAACTATTCAATAAAACTGGTTAAATAAGGAATGTTGTGTTTTTAATTAATAAGATAGTTCATAATCATCTAATGAACGACCAAGTGCCTTTCATATCCGCCCAGTTTCGAGTTACGCGAAAAGATTTAAATGTCCCGTGTTTTATGAGACACAATCTTCGAAACACCCCGCGGCATTCTTTAACGACATTTTTTGTGTAGGTATAAGTATATTTTTAACGATATTTTTTGTGTAAAGAGACTCGTTATTGAACATTTTTAACGATTCTTTTGATCCTTGTATAGTGGTTGTAAAATGTGGATTCAAGAGAAATTTTAGAGACACATGGCTTGTTACTTTTATTTTTAAGGAACGATGAAGCTAATGCGTTTCACGTGTCGATGTGAACGTTGAAAGGTGTTTGATGGATTTTTTTCATTCAAAGTTTTGGGTCACTGTGATATGAAACTTCATCGTAAGTAAGTCTTTATTGTCTAGCTGATAGAGATCTATTTGGGCCATCATTGATCTGTGTGTTAAAACCCTTGCATATGTGTTCAATTTCTAACATATTTAATTATTATAATATAAATATCAGCAAAAATGCTGACCTGTTTTGCTGTGGAACGTTTGTACAATGGCAGTAAACAAAACAAAACATTAAAACTTTTAGTCGAAATTCGAACTGCAGGCGAACTCTAACATACAAATATTTAAGAATCATACCCATCATATTATACAATATATGTATGCTTACAATTTGTAAGGACATTTCAAAGAAATTACTCTTTTTTTCTGAAAATGGCTTTTTGTCTTTGTGTCAAAGGTTATACAAGAACACAAGGGAACCTTTTTTCTCATTCTACTTCCGTTTCTAAGGTGGTTCGATTCACATTTGTATCGGATAATGATCTGCTCGGAATAAAACTGAATCATCCCGTCCTCTCATTAGTCAGTTATCATATCATGTCATTCATAACTATACGAATGACGTCACTTAATTTCAGTGTTCTTTTTAATTTTGGAACATGACGAACAATTCAAAATTCGATTAATTATCTTGATAACCTGAATGTTTGGTTCATAACCTCTTTGGTATACTGCAAGCGAGGATCGTTTTTGAACCGCAATTTGAATGTAAACAAAACCATTCCTTCTTAACCAGATGAGTATGAACAGAGTGTATCCAGCAATATCAGCTTCAATATAACTAACTAACAGGCCAGAATATAAACACTTTAAATGTCCCGCTGTCTGCCAACACGGCCACATTATGAATAAAAACACCTTTTTACGACTTGTTGTATCGCTCATTAGTATCTGAATACTTTAAATAGATTGGAGAAACATAAAGACCACATTTTAAAATTATATTAGATGTGTAAGAATATTTTTATTGATACTACTGGCAACCTGTTCCGGGATTGCATGAATCTTAGAAGGAACTGAATAAATGCACACACATTCGAAATGGGTTTTTTGATATCTTCAACTATCCTTAACAACACCTAGATCTTTTTGTCCATTCTCATGAAATCATTTTATCTCGCTCTTAATGTTCAAAAGGTAAACACAAAATGTGAAATATTTTTTTTTTTAATGCCTTGTTCTCTAAGGAGTAGGTGATAAATTTTTATTTTTATCTAACTGGTGCCACGACTTCGTTCGCGTGGAATTTGAAAAGCGTTGCCTTAATGTGTTCGATTCCC